GAGTTTGAAGTCACAGGAGTAATGTGGACAGAAAGAAACCAGGATGCCGGATGACCCGTCCCACACTCTGAGGTGGAGGTTCTCCTCTGTGTCCACAAAGTTTTCACATCAAGCTCATCAATAACATCGACAACATGTTCTCTGGTCGGACTCAATGGATAATCGAGCCAAACATAACCACGGTCATAAAAAGAAATAAAAAAAAGTTCACTATTGCCCGTTCATTCACTTCAAGCTGTAGGCACTAAATTTCAGATTCAAAGCAAAAACACAACTTCAAAACACAAAAGTCATTTACAATAATAACAATTATTAAAGTTATTAAAAATCTACCCTTTCTGTTCCTCTACCCATCAGAAATACAGTGTTTTAAACTAACACCACTGGTACCAAAGATTTTTCTCAAAATATTCCTGGAAAAAAAACTACATTTTTAATGCACTAAACACAAATCACAAAGAGAAACAAGTCAATAACCACTAATCATTAAAAAAATGGATCACAAATGAATAATCTTTGTACAGTTTTTAATTTTATAGTCAATAATGAAGCGCGAGAAAATAGATTCCATTTGATTTGAACAAATCTAGGAGTGACTTTAAAAAATGTCTTGCACACCAGAATATATTTCCACTTGAGGGCAAGTATTGACGCAACATTAAAATGTAAGTGGTTAAATATGAATGAAAAGTAGGCGCCGTGCTGATTGAGAACCTTACTGGGATTGTGACAAACCCACAAACATCAGGAATTAGACATTAATTTAAACTTATTCATAGTGTTCTGTGGACAAAATCTTTTAGTTCAGGAAGTTATAATTTCTAACAAAAAATGGACATTTGTTTTGTGTTGCATTCAAAAGGATTTTAGAATAAATGCTTTTTTATTAATGCTTTTTTATAATTGACGCATCTCTATTTTAGGGATCAACATTCTGACTGGGAAGTTGGACAGCTCTTAAAAAACACAACAACTCTGCTTCTGTGGTTGACCTTAAATGTGTGTACAGAATATCCATCCATCCTGTTCTGGGTCACTGGGAGCTGGTGTCTGTCTCCAGCGGTCATTAAGCCAGAGGCAGGTTCAACACGGACAAAATGTCCAGGATGGAAATATTCTATATTTCATCCACACTCGGTTCCTCCCATCTTGCTCATTTTCTTGATGAAAACAGCTCCCGTGTCAGGAATCAGCCGCCCTGAGCTGCTGCAGCTACTGAACTGCTTCATGAACACACGGGCGTCAGTAGGTCATCGTGGAGAAGCTGCTGTGATCTATTTTGTCCGCCTGCACTGTACCTGATTCTGATGGTGTGAAACGGCCGTGGTGAATGTAGGCCGGGAGTCAACGCTTCTCTCCAGATGACACAAGCTGATGTGGAGGGTGTGCTCCAAGAACCTCAACACAACGCAGCGAGGAAGATGGGACTAAAACAAGCAGCTCGTCGTTTGAATCGCAGAAATTAAATAACAGAGTTAGGATTTGGTTCTAAGGTTTCTAATCAACTCAAAGCAGCTATTGTCTGACATTAACTCATCATGTGTTAAAGTGCTATTAAGCCATGAAAAATAATACTCATAAGGAATAATGTACAGTGGTTTGTACTGAGATTAGATTACACACAGGTGGACACTTTTGAGTCATTAGCAGTCATCAGGCAACTTCTGAATGCAATTGGTTGCACTCAGGGAAAAGGGGCTGAATACTTTTGCACGTCGCACTTTTCAGTTTTTTATTTGTAAAAAATGTTTTGATTCATGTAAAATTTTGCTTCCACTTCACAATTGTAAACCACTTTGTGTTGGTCTTTCACATTAAA